AGCTCTTCTGAGGGTAAGCTTGTCGACATTGCATGTTAGTATGGATTAATACTCGGTCACTTACACCCCATAACGACAAATTTATCTTCTGGGATAGGAGAGCGCTTTTTCATACAATCGATTTTTGTCTCCACGATAAAGTTTACTTGCCTGAAGTGTTTCTGAAGTATTGAGGGCAGCGCGTAGCTTTGTGATTGAAGGTAATTAGGAGCAAATGATTTTGAAGTCGTTTGCCCTATCGTCATCATGGAACGTCTACTTGACGGCACTAAATTATATATGTGCTGTATAAATCTGAGGCATTTGGCGGGATCTTTAACTGGTCACCTTTATAAAGGCGCTGCTGCGGCAGTATTAAACTAAAATTATGATAATTTAATAGCATCGTCTGCTCAACAGTTGTATGTATATATAGTATATGCATATGTATAAATCTGTCAGTGTGACGAAGTAAACGATGCCTAGGTAACCTATATAAATTACCCAGATCCTGATTAAATGATTGTCGTACTAAACAGGGTCAGGATGCAATGCTCTTTAACTTCAGGTTTTCTCTGATGTTCTGTTCGATCACAGTAGATTAGTCGCACTCATTCGTTGTAATACCGCTAAAATACCTATATTTTTCTTCGTTTTTGTTCTGTTCAGCCCGACACTTATGCGCTACTTATGCGGGCCAACGAGTGTGGGATCCGACGGGTGAACGTTATATCACGGCTCCGAAATTGAACTGACGAAACAAATCTACCATCGATAATCGATATACAAAAAGCATCGATACCATCGATGCTTTTTGTTGTCCTGTATGATAGTAGTTAGACATGGACAAATGAAAAGATCGATTTTTCACTGATTTATGAAGTTAACAGTTGATTAACATGAACTTACAAAACACGCCAATTTTCTCAAACTCTCCTGTCATTTCATATGAGCGATACGATGTAACATGTATTCATGTTAATTGTGATGTTTTTAAGAACGTTTCCTTTTGCTTTAACCGGTTTTGTGTCAAGGAACAATTCGCTAAGAATATTAGCAGGCTGAGCTTTAAGGCTCCAGCTTTCCTTGGTGACGCATAAACAGGTTTGTAATAGATACTTATTTCGAATAATTATAATAGAATTTCAAGTGTTTTTTTTTTGTGGATAGTTTACACTGTTAAGTGGAATTTATGGTAGCTGGTAAAAAATTTGCTACTGGGTGTAGCTATTTTTTTGCTTTAATATCATTGCAATATCTGACCGGGTTAATGTATCAGTAAAACTAATCAGTGAAGAGCTTAATATATACGGTATTGGGTTTTTATTTTTCAGCGTAGAAACTAAACACTGATTAGCCAATTTGATTCTCTTGCTTTTGTTTAATTTGTCTCTGAAAGCACGTAGTCTGCTCACGCCTGGATTCGTTTGACACAGCGAATTGACAATTTTCAACCAGCTAGTGAATGAAAAGATCGATTGGAACTTTAAATTTAATTTGGAAAAGAAAATTTTACTTATATAGTAGATAACGTGTCGCGTAAACGTATCGTTCTTAAACCATTGACGTGGACGCACGCATTTTTATACTTCTACTTAACTGCAACATATACGTATGCAACACAGCGACAAACAATGGAAATCATCTTCAAAATTAAATAAATAATTGCATACAATAAATCTTATAAAAAGCTTTGTTTTCTTTATATGTATATATAGGTTTCTACTAACGGTGATGAGTGGTTCTTCATGGTACGCTCAATTGAATAGCGAGGCGTCGAAGGATCTAAACATTTCCAGCTAATTTCTAGCAGGTAGACCTGGCTGACAACTACAGAGATACTCAATAGGTAACTCTTACAAGTTTTCGAAAAAGGGTCCAACGAATCGCATGAATGGTCGCTCTCAGCAAGCCTTTTTCGAAATTATCTAATTAATGTGCGAATTTGTTTGGATGGCTCATCGCCGACTGATACTAACGTTTGCGTAAACAGCACTAAACAAATACACTATGAAGCCTATTGATTGCAATACCGAAACTGACAGCTTGCTTCTAACTAGGCCTACATGCCTGATATCTGTGGGCCTAGTTAGAATAATGTCAAATTGGCACGCCTCAAAATCCAGGGTATTGCCCTATGTTTTGCTATCGTTTTTTTGCTTATATGACTACATGATTGCCAAATGTCATATTATTATAGAGTTAATGTTAGTCTGCTGAGAGCAGCGGTTTACCTAGTGACTTCTTGGGATCATGAGCCGGTCTTCCAGGTCTGCTGTGTATATTTCTACTGCGATTCTTCAGTGTCGACCTTTTGCCTTTAGCTTTGGCTAGTTTAAGTAGGAATCGCATGAAGAAGGCACCATAGCCCGTTTTCAAGAAATGTAAAAACAAACGGATAAGCTTTTGGTTGTGCGCTGTCTCATATGGAAACTCCACGAATGTCTAAAAAATCCGTTTTTAAGTCAAGTAGCATCGCGAGCACTGAAGAGGAACTTGATCATGTTCTTGTGATGGTTGCAGGTCACCACCTGTGATTTCCTAGCCATGGGTTGCTACGTTGCTTCAAATAGAATCCTATTGGATTTTGTCGCTGGCCGTATGCTCTGGACTAACCTGCGAAGAGCACACGCACTAATTGAATCTGTCCCTATGGCGCTCCCACAGTGCAATGACAACGATTCGACAATATAGTGTGCTGATTTACCATAGCCATTTGAAGCCAGCAATTTTCTATACCCTATCCATCGGTGGCCATGCGCTAAACAATGAAGTGACATCGCTGAACATATCTGAGCCCTATGTACTGATTCGAAAGTCCATCAAAGCCCAGTTTGGCACCGCTGAAGGTGTTCGTAGACAAAGAGGTTACACCCAGTAGAGTACTGGGTATAGTTTGCCACCAACAACAGTAAGCTTTTGACAATCGATCGAGAGCTCTTAGCCAACTGGCTTTATAATAACCCTCTTATTGTATAGTAGTCATCTGTTACTGCCTTTACCCGAATGTGATTTATCCTAGCCAATTCTTATCTTTTTCCAAGAGGCGCCTAGCTTTGAAAATATCTTCAGCTTAAACAGCAACGTAAAGCGTTAATGCAGCTGAGTTAGTTTCGCCGAACGATTTTATCCGACCCATACTTGTTAAAGAAGTAAAAGTAAAGTATTAGAAAAAGTCCTCGGTAGTCCGCGGGTTGTCCAGTCGATTTTAGGCCCAAAATGCATTTGACCAATTTTTTGACTCGCTGAAATCCGGACACAGAGACTGAAAACACGCGTGATGTGCGTGTGTCAGCGTACTCGGTGTACTGAAGTTGCATTGGATAATGATTTCCTTAAAAGTGGTAAGTCGACGACGCCCAACCGCTCGAAGCAGGCTATGAAGCTGATCGAAAGCTACTATATGAGGTTAATTTTGTAAAATTCATCCTATTAGCTGTTGTTCAGTCAGGCGCGTATGTACATCAAGTTCGATGTATGGGCCTAATCTAATGAATCAGATATAATCAGTTTATCATATGATCATTGTAGATTTTTGAATAATTGATATAATAAATAATGAATTGTTTGGGACAAATTAGAGGACCCGACATGTATTCTATTGTATCTCTCTAATAATGAAACAGTCCAATCTCGTATACGTACTACTGCACGATCACCAAGCATTGCAGATGAATTATTAATATCTTTTTGCCTTCTCCCATATACGAGCGGCCCGAACGTATTACCCAACCGTCGGGCAGCTGGGTTATTATTTACGTACGAGAAAAGTACGCGATATGTATTTGTTACACGCGGACAGAGCATGTCGGAGGAACTAAGATCAATCACAAATCAATCGTTGTCCTTAACGCTATTTCGATCTGTTCAGGCTCCGTTAAACTTACTTACCAGCATACCGCCTTGTCGCTATACCCTTCGTGTACGTAACTTATCTATTTTATGCACGACATAAATTATCTACAAGTACTTAGAATGTTCTTGTAGAGGCGTACATTAAAATTAGCATAAGCTTTTATAATGAAAGCACGACATTTAAGCGTGAAGATCCCAACTATAAGATTCGACAATAGGCAATATAGCTATGCATCATCAGTCGTCCTATACGAGAAATTATAACAATCTGTCGTAGCTCTTTGGCAGATGCTGCAATCAAAGCCACGTATGGAAGCAATATTAGCGCCTAACCCAGAACCAGATTCGATACCCCGTCGAGTACTTCTCACTTCGGTTATTTTCATAGAAATACCTATTCTAATTAATGGAAGATCGGCGACTTACAGACTAGCGAAACCTTTGATCAAGCTGGCGGACGGTTTATACAGTCTGTGTGTTAGAAGCGTGGACAGATTGAGCGGCGAACCGACGCTTACACAACTACCGTTGAGATGAATACTAACAAAAGCAAATAGAGGCAAGGTAGAAATAGTGGAAGCTATAGGAAGAGCCGCCTGTTCGTCCACTATTGTTTTATGTTGCCACATAAAATTTTTGCTCGTAACTAATAAATTACTCTTCTATTTACTAAAATACGAGAGAAATTATGCTGGGATCGACGTAAATGCGAGAAGCCCTTATCTCGCTGAATTAATTTAACGTTCAGGTTACGGTATGCTCGCTACTAGGTGTAAGCAGACTTACCACGAATAAAGGACACAGAACCGGAGGCTTAAAACTCCTGTAATTGCTCATGTCGGCCTGAAACAAGCCTTCTGCCGTTAGCTAATTTGTGTCAGTGTAAGTAGCTCTTTCGCACAACAGAGAAATCCTTTCTTCGAATGATCAGAAAAACAGTACATAGTAAATTGATAACGAGTTAGGAAACGGGGGTTACGAAGTTATGTTGTCATTTACATTTAATATACAGGCAAAGGAATTTTTTCTCAGCTGCTCTTCTGATAACTAAAGTTCAGACATTGTTATCGAGTCTGCTCTCTTATATGCGGAGTTGAACACTCCGTTAATTTTCGAATAATTAGATGTATTGAAGTTAGCTTAGTTGCCTTTAATGATTGCTTAATTGCCTACATTTTATGCCCCCAGTTTCAGTGCGAACAACATCACGGCAACATGTCTACGGAGATTCCGTCTCCCTTTGAACATGTCAGTACTGGTTCATCGTCTACTGTCGTAGGTAAAGTAGTAAAATATGTTGACACACCACTAATACGATTTCCCATATATCTGTGAGCTTAACATTGGTAGTTATAACTGTAACTAATATGCGTGCATTTCCGTCAGGGGCTTGTTTCCGATAGGCGCCTCCGCGCTATAACCGTCCTTTCCCAGAAACTCGTACGACCTTACTTAGTCCTGTGTTTACGGCCGGTGGCGACATCGAGATGGCTGTAACACCTCTTGCAACAGTTTCTACCTAATATAGGTTTCTTTTTTTTTTGTTTTGTAGGTTCTTAGAGGTGAAATTAGCCAGAGCCGTCGGCCTTCAGTTTGCCCTCTTCTTGCCTTCCGGGCTTCGACTGTTGAAAGACGGCGACAGCGCAATCCACAGGTGTTTGACGGTTGTCTTGTCTACGACCTGTACAGTTCGTGCCCTTGGAAGCATTTGTTTTGTCCCGGCTTTTCGCTTATATTATCTCGCGTGCAGATATTTTGCACTGGTCAATCCGCAGCGCGTTTTCCATCGGATTCGAGTGCTCCCAGTCGCGTGTCCGGTTTGGCCGCGCTTTCCAATTCAACTCATGACGCATAGATTTGTACATTTGTTTTCATTATTATCCTCAAAGGTCTCACTGCGTTTCTTCCCGCAAAACTCCTTGACAGCGTTCCCTATTCTTTCAAACAGGCGAGTAAGCTTACATGCACGGGATAGATGCATATATTTTTCTAATAATCGTACAACAAAAACTGACTCTTTCAAAGAATGTTTCTACATTATTAGAAAGATTCAGTTCCGTCTAGTGCTATTTGTTGTTGTCATTGGGCAATATGGCAATAATAATTATTCGAAACATTGAAAAAGCTGATAAAAAAGTGACTACGGGTCAATAAACTTGAATGTCTTATTTTTGAGAGTTTGACCTCAGTATAAGCCTCTAACTGAAGTCTCTGGTGCTGTTTTCCGAAAAATAGGGACCACAAAAATAGTCTGATTAGGTACCCTTTGTCGTGGAACAGATTTATTCATAGTTATCAATATCGCTGCAATGAAGCTTTTGTTTTTGTTTTTTTTTTCTCAAAACGCTTATTAAAGCATATTGATTCGGAAACTTTATAAAAATAAAGACTACCCTACCGCACTTGTTACTATCTTAAGTGTGAAAGCGGGTCATTAGTGAATTCATAGCTTTTTATTTGATGTTTGATAGGTTTGTTTTCCCGCAAATGTTTCTCGGTATTCTATGCGAGCTTACGTTATCCGACTGACTACCGTAACTGGTAAATTTACGTATCAATTACTTAGTAACTGCTCTTGCGATGTATAATTCATTTTTTAGAGCGCTTAACACCTGTGCGTTCTATGGCGGCGATCTGCTGCTAGAGTTTCAAGCTCAACAACTGCGTTCGTAGTTAAGTATTATTGATGCCGACCCGATTTCGGTGTACGTCTTCATCAAACGTAATCATGAAAAATTATGGAAAGAATAGTCAGGATGAAAACTGCATGCGACACTCTGACCCAGTACGATAGAATTATGACCCCTCGTTCTACTTCACGTATGGTTTGACCAGTAAGTACGGGTTTCTTGCAAGCCTCGTGACATCTTGTGGCAGGCGCTGGGATTTGCTCTCCTAAAATTTTGTACAATAATGGTAATGTTGATATTATTATTATCATTTTACATGCGTTACATACACGGATGTAGTAGGCAAAATGATACAAACTAAAATTGATCGCCTGCCTTTTAACGGCACTTCTCGTACCGTACTTTCTAAACGCGACTATTCTGCCCCGTCCCTTAATACAAACCTGACAATGCAAGCGCCAAGTAGACATGATACTCAGCAATTTGTCTTTCGGTCATTAATTTTTGAAGTCTCTGTTTTTGTTCCTGTAACGCCAGCCCTTCATCCATGGCTTTTTTGCGCAAATTCGCTATACGGTCGAGCCTGGCGCGCAGCTCGGAAACACTGATCGGTATCGTAGGGCTTTTACGAGGCGATCCAGGTAACGGTTGAGACTCAACTCGTCTTTTACCCAGTTCGACTTCTGCATCCCCTGTTGACTTGCCTTTGAACTCAGTTTTATCATTTTTCTCTACAGACGCTTTAGGAGGCTCGCCAACTGATTTGCTCTGCTCGATACGCGTGTCCTTTTTCGGATCGGAAGTCCCATTACTCTTTCCGCCTCTAGAAGTTTTATTTAGATCCGAACGATCGCCTCGTTCCGTGCCCAGTTCTGTACGTCCACCTCGAAGGGTCTTGACCTGTCAATAGAGCTAAGGTAAAGGGATGTAACGACACAGTAGGGCATCAGTTCCTAGCGGCGCTTATTCGCAAATGATCGTAAGATACGGTGAGAGGTGGTACACTTTATCGGATTTACTTGTATAGTGGTTCATAGAGGAGTTCTCTATCGATGTATCTGTGCATTTATGACAGATTTCGATAAGGTTAGCTTAAAGAAATCGTTTTATAAATCTGTTTTTATGTTACAATGCTACATATTTGAGAGCATTTATGAAATTTCCACCTGAGTCTGACGCCATAAAATCAGGCCTACAACGCCGCTTGAACTTCTTTGCGCTGCTATGTCTACTTCTGCAACAGAAAAGGCTCGCCACCCCACAGTGATATTCGAATGGATAACGATTATCTCTACATCAGGAGGGTATTATTATTACAAAATTGTCTTAGTATACTTCAGCCCACAGGTGAATAGGCGTAATCATAAGACATACGTGAACATATCTACCGGTTCCAGTGGCTGAGTCATACAGGAAGCTCTGATTGCCAGAGTCATCTTCAGTTCGGTATTTGATGGAAAGTGGCCGATCACTACCGCGTCTCAACGGAGTATTACCGAGCGAGCGTCTGCGAAACGCCATCTGTCTTATAATTACTCTCCACACACCTAGTGCTAGAAACTAGCTAAGCTTTACGAGACGCGTCGTTGTTGCAGAATGAAAAACGTCAATAATTTTAAAGGACTTTTTGCAAGCTTCGAAATGGATATTCGGCCAACGAACTGTCAGACAAGGCATAAGCTGACTCTCAATTGGTCCTGAGAACCTTATGCACGACTCTGTTTAACTTCGGTAAATCCTCTAATTAAACAATCTAATGTGGTTCTGACGTAGTTGGGGGGCGAAACTGGCCCATCTTGACCTATAGTCGTTGATCAACTCTAGGCAGAAACAATGGTCCTCGTTGATTGTTAAATCCAGCCAGGTCTGATCCAGTGTTTGCGGGGATGGCTGGAGAAAACGTGAATAGGAAATTAATTTTAATAGAAAAAATTGTAAATGTTTATAAAGGCTGATTCAGCTGACATGTGTTTTCGTGCATTTGAGCCAAAAGCCCGATAATAGTAGGCGCACTTTCAGAGCAAGACCTGACAAGCAATCACCTAAACTAGTAGACCCAGAGGGCATCTTGGAAAACCCTGAGCTTTCTTGGTGGAACTTGGATTTGTTTCCAGAAGGCGCACAAGTACTAAAAGCTGATCTAGCCGGACCCTAGCTCTAGGGGAACAGCTAGTTTGAATTCGTTGACACGCATCTATATACATTGTATGTCAATAAAGCATGCTTCTTAAGTATCGTTTGAAAAAAGATGGCCGACAGCAGTTTCATTGATAGCTGCAGTGAGTAGCCGACTGCGTCGAACGAGGCGATCTGTAGTTTAAGCGATGGTTTATATATATAGGAGTGTATATAGAAAGACTTGTTATGTACCAGCAAAGCAGGTCATTGTAGTTGGACTGTAGTCTCGATAAGTGTGCTAAGTAATACGTACGCTCAGCGTGTTGCTAGATCTGTTTACCGATAAGGGCATTTTCTAGCTTAGCTGACTCGAAGCAGACTGGAGCAGAATCAATTGCGTTAGCGCCGGACAGAAACGCTTTTAGAATCGATTGGTGCTTTTACGAAGTTTGCATTGGAGGTGCACGACCCTCACGAGAATTACGAAACCCAACCAGGCAAGTCAGCGGATCAAAATGTCATCGACGGGCTCGCATTTATCTGTAGTAAAACCTACGGCCTAACGTGTGAGCTGATCACCAGACTATACAGTTAACTTTACAGAGAAGGTTTACTTAGCCATTCATTACTAAGCAGCATATTTGCAATAGATAATGCAAACATATTCGTAAAAAATAATAATCACAAAGCCTGTAGTTCATTTGCTACTCTGGTCTCAGAAACTAAAGCCAAGCAAAGGATGCCCCTTATACACCACGGACTTATAATTATTAGTGACGAAATGAATTAAGAAAAAGAAAAAAAAAAAGGCAAAACATTTAAATGTACAGCAAAAGTGGCGACTGTTTAGTTCTGGCTCTGACACGGTTCATCTGGCAAGTTAGATCCTCCTCTTTATCCATCGCCCTCCGATAATTCCTGCTGCAGTGTTTACTCCGAAGTCAGAATAAAATGACGTATATTTCCGATGTTCTTTTTGAAACAACTCGAGCCGATCATCTTGGATGTCCTGCTAAACTAGGTTTGTAGATAATTTTTGGATAAAAAAAAATGCTACAGCCCCTGTTATATGGTGGAATATTAAACTACACAATCGTTGCAATGAAACATTGTCAAAGAAAATTAGTTTCTATTTAATGTCAGACGAATAGTTGCAGATAAAAATTTTTAAATTAGCCAAAAAACCCAAATCTATTTCGGTCCTTCATTAAAATTTGTAGACTAGGTTTGCTCTTCGAACCCGGTAAAAGCTATAAATAAACATGAATCTGATACTTCTGTAGACAGAAATGTTTTGTTAGACAAGATAACACGTGATTAGTTATCATTTAGACAATAAACTATTAAGATGTTCACTCATTGTTACTTTTCACGTTAGTTCAATACAATATCGATGTCCTAAATAGGCTCAATTCTAAGCCTAATTGAGTTTTTATGAAAAATAAAAAACCAAACATAAACACACCCATTAATATTTATCGGCTTATTAACATTTATACGCACATTTATCGATAACATACACAAACAGAAAACAAAGTCCGCATTATATCTATTTCAAAGGATCAGCGTATGCGATCGAAGATCGAAACCGACAAACGTGACCTGCTTACGTGACACAGCAACAGCTTATAGTTAATGCTGGTCTAATTCTCTGAAGCTTTCTTTTTCCTTTCGTTTTTAAGATATATTTTATTAAAGAGATATTTCGGATCGCCTGAAGTTGTACGGAGGCTAACTTCGACTAGCAATGGGCGAGCGTTGCAGTGATACCAGTGGATATGGCTTCACTCCGGCCAACACATTGAAGGCCAGCTATCTGCAAGATGTGTGTGGTACCAATTTCTTTCTTCATTTGTGTTCGCCAGAGAAGCCCAATCAAATCTATCTATTGTGCGCCCTGTTTTCAAATGTGTGTCCTATCGAAGCAGCCCGTCGTTTTTGCTGACATCGGATTTTGTTCACGTTTTATATGATGATTTTAGTGTTACAGTTTTTAGCCAGTCAAACGACACAGGTTTTGTGCCAGGACCTTGTGTGGGTATTCGCATGTGTCTATGATATCCTTCAATGCGATTCGAGTGAACCAATCGACGAGTGCCGGCCAGCCCTGTTGATATAACGTAGTGGAAACATGGAGCAACGCTCGAGGTTTCTTCTATCTTCCTTCTACTGATGCAGTAACGTGTGCTCCAACAGCCTATGCACAGCGTGAAGAGTCCATCGCCCGACCCGAGACCCGCTATGGGACGCTCTCGGGTCTTCATACTCCCCCATACATGCTCGCTATTTCTACAACACAAAACGTTGGATCGTATGCCATGTACTGCAGGTACATACATGTACGGATATACGTGATTAGACTCTGCAGAAAGACGTCACGGTTTAGCTGGCGCTGGCCGTCGGGGGCACTCATTAAAGCTACTATAGGAGGTTGCAAGTAGCGATTACTTAGCGAAGTTCTACAATAACTTTAACTTCAATACGCCTGACCTCGCGCCCTTCCGAGTTCCGAGTCAGTATAGCAGAATGCACAATTTAGTACACTTCGTCGGTACAGACTTTTTCCTTCTTTTCTTCTAAAAGGGGAATGAAAAACTTCGCCAAAGTGGGGTCTGCATTATTAATTTTTATCAAAATGGGAACGCGCGCTAAAATTTGATGCAAGTCTGGCTGACGTTTTGATCCATTATATATAATCCTAGTAAATATGAACTACTGCATAAACTTGTATCGTTTCTGAGATACGATTCGATAGAATGGATAGCCTGGACTCATTTTTCTAGAGAGCCAAACTGCAGGTGTTAGAGCAAGGCGACCTTCAATGGTCTAAATGAATGATCTTTTGTGAAAGTATTGTCCAATGACGCCCTCATAGTAGCAATCGAAGAAAGTGTTTTCGGTCGGTGAATTGCTTTCGGTAGGAAACATTTAATAGGAGAGGGGCACGGAATTACTGCATAGATGAAATACAAATAATAGTTTTCTTCAAATAGATAGATAGTGGCTTACGGATTTGAACCTTTATCATTTGTGTAGTATTAAAGCAACGCTGAAAAGATCTGTTGAACATTGTAGTGGAGTCCAAAATAACCAAGGAAAACTGGGCGCTGCAGAGGCCGAGAAAGGCGGAACGAAGTTTATTTAACGCCAGTGATCGAGAATGAATCGTTTACGTATAGCTAAACATACGCTAAGGCATTCTTTCCGAATCTAGCGATCAGAAAGGTCTTTCTTTTGCTAAAAATCGACAGATTAAATGAACTGTCCCAGCTTTTGTTTGGTTAAAAATAGATCGAAAGTAAACAGCAACTCGCGACTTAACTGGACATTTTCTGGCATGTGTATTCCTTTTGCCCATAAACGCTGTGTACTCCAACCTATATATATATATATATATATATATATATACACTCATCTCAGGTGTCCCACAAAATGTAGGACAGTTACCGTTGGGCCTATAAAATATTTCTGATCAACCTGTTGAGCACAGAGGGGGTTTATTGCGATATGTGTATGTTATCGTTGGTCTAGTACATTTAACACTGAGTTTTTTTTTTTGTTTGGGCTGATCTTTATTATTTTTGTTTTCTTTATGTTTAGCACAAAGCTATGAACTTTGACTTAGTGATAGTAATTTCGGCGAAGATGTTGGTCGAGCGAGTTTTGTCGTTTGCCTCGTTCACGCAACCATGTCTTCATTCTAAATTTCACAGTGTTCCCTCAGCACAGGCGTCATAGGATTTTTATACCGCGAAACAAGATCAGTACCGATCCCTGTGCTACTCTATAATTTGATTTATCTAGCGTTTTTATTCTTTGCCTCAATCATGTACTTTACTGAACCGCAAGCCAAAGTAGGTTGGTTTGTCCATTAACCTTGATCAATTAACATTATCAAAAGCTTTCCAGCCGGCTAAACATTCGGTATCTTACTTAGATTTTTTTTTGAGGCACAAACATATAGATCTCATATTATCACTCATTAAACCAGGTCTCTGTGTTTCGATATTGCATGTTGAAATTTGTTGGACATATCGACATCTCTATAGAAGCTCTCACATTAGGCAATTCTATCGTAACCTTCTACTGATGATGTGGAGAATTGAACTTTTTTTATTGGTCACGTTTTTCTGCCCAACGGTGCTGTTGCTGATCAAATCGCAAACTTTTTTTTCTATTCTGTCGATTTTTCGAATGATTCTGTTGCGCCATTATAGGTCAACGCATACGTACGGTCCACTCAACGATACAGATTATGTGTAATAAACGCGTCGCCGTCGCCCAGCAACCCAACGTTGAATCAGCGAATTGTCTTCAGAAAAGATCTTCTAAAAATGAAAGCTGTGGACCTAAAGTTTCCCAAGCATCCATCACGCTATTTCTCAACAGCGTTTTTGACCGCTTCGGTGCCCAGGAAATGTTGTTAGTCGAGTTAATGATAGTGCGGGCTTTACACAGGGAAGAGTTCGCATCTGGCGTACAATGAGCGTGGGTAAAACCAACATGGGTGGCCAGTATTCGATATTGGCTTGGGTCATTTGTTTCCGAAAATGCACGCTACGACGTGAGGGCTGGCGGGTCACGATTGAGGCGCTGACTAAAATTCCGATTGGCAACAGCAAAACTTATACCAGCGTAGAGTCGCCTAATAGAATATCTATAATTAGAAATGTACATAGATAGGACAATAAACTCGCTCGTTCTAGCTTGTCGTTTTTTCACGGAGTCTTGCGCATCGCTATCGGGCAAAACGGAACGCATCTTTCTTTTACTATTTAGAAGTTGTCCTGTTTACTAAACACGCACCTAAAGCTCTACAGGCGATTAGATAATTCGCGAGCTGACACCCTTTTCTGCTGATTTATCGTATAACATAGAGGATTGTTCAAGAGGGATGTATGAGTTTCATACTGCCGCATGTGGGTTTCATAGGGGCTAGTCGTCTAAGCCCACAATGAATGGTTTTCCGTACCG